TTGGATCCCAGTCTAAAACTTTAATAATAAAAAATAATTAACAATTTAATAATGAATAATAATTAATATAATTCAAATAAATAATAATTATTTATACTGCATTATATACCACTACTATACTATAATAGTAATTATTCAATTACTACTTAACTAATTGATTACGTATAATAATTTATTTATTCGTTCATTTTTATTCACGAAATCACTTTAATTATTTTTTATTTAATTAATATTATAAAATTGTATTTTTTTTCTAATATCAAAACTTTTTTTAACTAAAATCAAAATTAACAAAATGTGAGTGAACGAATAGAAGAATGAAATAAACATATCACTATGGTACAGTGTCTAAGTTCAGTTTCATTCTGTGTCACCGGTACAAATTATATTGGTTTCAACAATATTAACGTCAGATGTAGTTAATGACGTTGAAAATGACGTAGAAAATTTTTTCTGTTTCTTCATTTATACGTTTAGAAAATATTTCGGTATCTATGTTTAGATAAATTTATAAACAAAAATATATAAAATTGTTTTGTATTATTTTTTTGTAATAACAATAGTTTACAGATCCAGTTCATATTTAACATTATTAAAAATTTCACCAAATCAAAAATTATTTTCTTTACGAAAAAAATATGATCTTTTCAATTTACAAAATTATTTTATTTCTCTTCTACTATTTACTATTTACTATTTAAGTGGAATTTTTATTCAACCTGTGGATTTTTTTAAAGCAACAATTTCTCTTGTAAAAATAGTAGGTATACAAAAATACAATGTATAAAAGCAGTATACTTTATATACAGCTGACCTTCCCATGTTAGGAATCCCCTTATAATTTAAACACCCTTCCCCTCCAAAAAAAACCTTTGTAATAAAAATCGATTTCTCAAAGTGTGCTACCGGCGAAACTATACCATTCATATGACCTAACTTTCGACGAAAAAGCGTTTCGCAAATATGAATCAAAGTTTTCTGAATATCTTTGAATGATCTAAACGTCATTTTAAGTTATTTTTGGAGCAAAAATTGGCACCTCACTTTCACAATATCAAGTCATAAAATCTAAAAAAAAGGCGAATATGAAAAATTTTGCTTTCTCATCATATGATTGTATTATAAATATACATCAAGGTATAAATAAAAAAAAAATAATAATAATAATAATAATAACAATAATAATAATGCTAGTAATAATAAAAAATAATGGTAATAATTAATAAAAATATTAGTAAGTACTAATTAATAAAAATAATACTCGAAATAATATTAATGATTAATAAAATAAAATATTAAAATTAATCGATACTAACTAATTAGTATTTTAAAACATAGTTCATCTCTTCCGGCTAATTAATTATTAACTGTCATTACTGTTATTAATATTTATTATCAAATTATTCTCGTTACTATTATTATTATTAATCCTTTTTTATAGTATTTCCATTATTTTTTTTATTGTTGTTGTTATTTTTATTATTATTATTATTATTAATATCATTATTATTATATTATTACTATTAGTTTTTTTTATATCTTAAAAGTTTAAATGAACGAAAATTTATCCCTTTCAAATATTTTTCGAGCTACTATTATTTAAAAATGAACTATTTTTCATATTCTAATAAAAATTAAAAAAATTAATTGAACGTTAATAATTTATTTTCTAATGTGCAAATTAATATTTTGTACCAAAAATCAAACTACAAAAGATTAATTAAATTACATTTTTTTTAAATCAACATTATTATTATTATTATTATTATTATTATTATTATTATTATTATTATTATTATTATTGTTATCAATTTTAAGGGATCGTTCACAAACTACGTCACACTCCTAGGGGTGGGGGGAGATTTGTATGTAAAAAAATGTGACGAAGGGGGGGGGGGAGTAAAAATTAGTTGCCTCGTTAGAATTACTCGTTTGTTTATCATTAGTTTCTTCTTTATTTAAAGCGATTTTTATAAGTTATTTTTTTATTAATTAATTTATTAAGAAAATTTTGACGATAAATAATATTTTATTATAATTTATCAATTTAATTTTTTTTAATTACAGGAGGACAAGGGCAAAAAACCAAAAATAAAACTCAAAAAACATGCAATTTTCTCTCTCTCTCTCTCGAAACAAAAAATAAAAACGTATTTTTTTCTCTTTCATTCAACAAAACACCGTCGACTCACCAAGTTGTGTGAGTACGTTGACAACTTGAGAATAATTGACAAGATTCTTGCGCCTTAAATTCGGGCCTAATGGCCAATTTTTTTGAACAACAGTGACGTTATTTTCTTTTTTTGTTACACGTCAGGCACAGTGTGTCACTATCACTAATTTGTAGAAAAAAAATATTATTAATTACGGGTGCGTCTTTCGGGACGCTAGATTCACACACGCGCGCGTGATTATCATGCCGCTGATGCTGTGATGATTCGGGTAAATGATCGAATAAAAACGTTCAGTCTTGTGGGCTACTCGTGTAAAAATGAGGTGCCTCTTGTGCGTCGCGACGACAAGGGCATTGAAGGTCGCAGCTGCGCCGTCAATACGCAGGTGCGTGTTTGTTTTTAACTATTTTTTTTATTCTATTTTGTTTATAACAAATAGATGAATAAATTATTTATTGAAACTTCAGTCATTTTGGCCAAGAGTGTGGATGGAGACAATCGAATAGATAAACGTTAATTGTATTAGCAAGAAAGGTGAAGACTCTAAAAAATTTGAGGACCATAAAAATATTGCTGATTAAAGTAAATTAAAAATTTAAATCCGTTTATATTAATTCTCAAATTTTAAATTCTATTATAGAAATAATTATAAAATTAGGAATATTAACGAAAATCTTTAGATTTAAAATGGAGACTTCTCTCCACCTGCGAACGCCAAGGTCACCGCTAGATGGCAGTTCAGTTGATAAAATCAGATTCCACGACACCTGGTGGCGACCTTGGCGTTCTCAAGTGGAGAAATTAAACCACCATTTTATCCTTCAAAAACTTTTGTATAATTAATAAAATGCAAAAAATCAGTTATTTTTTCACTATCCCAGATAGCACATAATCTTCTAGCAACCGAAAATCAATTATTTTTTCTAATTCAGATTTTTATTAGCAGATTTTTTTTTTTATTAATAATCAGTTATTTTTAGTAACTTCTTGTTTTCACTTTATTTATAATTTGAATGAAGAAAGAATTTTTGTAAAAGTTGTACACTGAGAGAAGTCCAGGGCGTAATAGTTACCGCTAGACGTCGCTATAAGCTACTGTTCTTGTTGCGTTTGAGATGTTTTGAATCTAGGGCTCAGACGCCCCGAGTCTGTCAAACATTGTTCCCGCATGTGAGAGAACAACTCGTGACCGAAACTAAAAGTTGTAAGTAATCCCGCTTCGGGACGTTCCACGTTTTTTATCGGGGCTTGAGACGTCCCGATCGAGGGTTCACATAAGAACATTCAAAATTATCACTCAAGCCTCGCACGGGACGTATTAGTTCCCGGACTTCTCTCAGTGTATTAAAAATAAAATAAATTTTTTAAAAATATGAGACGAATTTTGTTTGATTTTTTTAAATAGATATTTTGTTAATTTGTATTGAAAATGTTGATACAATGACACGCAAAGATTATTTTACTCTAAAATAAAAATTATATACACGCCTTTTGTGTATACGTGACATCGTCAAGGGCTTTTTAAAGAGGACAAATAGAAACTTTGCTGAAACAATTTAGTTGATTAACTTTATTAATTTAGTTATTTTAGAGATAAAGAATAAACCAAAAGTTCCATAGAAAAGTCCTCTTTAAATAATTTTTTCAAATAATTTCTTCTCAACTATTTTCCATGGTATTTTTGCAAAAAAAAGAGGAATCCTCTAAAATTGAAAACATTTTTTTTTCGGTGTTGAAAAAAATTTTGTTTTATATTATTGAATCAGTTTCTAATTCGAATCATTCAAACTTAAATTTCTCGAGATTTTAATCGAGAAATTCATTTAACAGCATGTGGCTATTAGGTATTGATCACGTGATCGTCCCCTGGGTTAATTTATTTGTCACTTTTCTCCTAAAATATTAAATGGATTTCGCCACGGTATTCTATAAACTTTTAATAGATTTTCACTAGATTTTTATCTAATACCTAATTTATTTATTTATAATATTAAAATAAAATTTTATTAAAATAAATATTCAAATAAGTTCCTTATGAAAAAAAATGTTTTACTTTGAACAGCAATAAGTTTCTCTAAAATAGCGAAAGTTTTAACTGAAACAACTAAAAATTTAACTAATATAGTGAAATTTGTAGCTGTTCCAGGTGAATATTTTTTTCCTGGATATTTTTTCAAATAAATGTTCATTTAACCAATTTGCATTTAACAAACTTGTGATTCCAATCGATTTTTCTACTTTTGATTCACTAAAATTTTTATTCAACAGTATTTTAATTAAAAAATGTTTAAATTATTATTTTATATTAATTGTAGTCAGAAATTTTGAAAAATAACATCTTTATATATTACATAAATATTTGGTTTTTTGGCAGATAAAAATGTACCAAACTTCATTCATTGAATTATATTAGTTGCAAATAACTAAGTATTGATTAATTAAAATAAATGTCAAATTTTTTATAAAAATTAAGTATAAAAGATAAATAAATAATCTACTTTGTTACGAGTTGTATAAAATACAGGGAAGCACAACAGGTTGCCTTCGCTTTGTGCTAACGTATAATATGTGAATATTATAAAAAATGTTGCATTCAATTTAAAATTTAGAAATGAATTTTAATAATTAATTTTAATGATATTTAATTTAATAATTTCAATAATTTCAATTATTATTTCTAATAATTGAAATAATTTTTATATAATTTTCAAGTTATTTAACGATTTAATGATTTCTTATAACTCGTAAAAATTAGTTTTTATACATTTTTGGATCCGACATTTTGAATTTAAAATCCATAAAAAACATTTTGAGTTATGACTTTGTTCAGCAGATAGATTCGCGCGCGTCGTCGAGTGGCTCACGTTTTAGAAATCATGAATATCCGTCGACTACCTGGCTTCATTTATCGCTATAAAATCGTCGCTTTTTTAATCATAACAAGCATTTTTGTAATTGTTTATCACCTCAATTATTGGAGTGTATTGTGCACAAATTTTGAATCTCGGCGTTTCGTGTCAGAACTTGTGAGTGGAAAAAAAATATTTGTACTATTCTCTTTTTTCTTAAATATTATTTTCACATAATATACATTAGAGAAAAATTTAATTTTTATTTCTTTTACTTTAATTTAAAAAAACATATATTATTAATACAAAAAGATATTATTCCTAAAAGGAACCTTGACTTTTATCAAAAGGCCTCTACTTCTGTAATAAAACTTTTAAGACTGAACGTAACAAATGGAAGATTTTTATTTACAAATTATATATGTTTGGTTAATATCATTGAAATTAAACTTTTAACTGTTTTAAAATTTTACCAATAATACAATTACGCACATATGTGTCTGTAGAAATATATGTAAATGTTTAAAAACCGGACAAGGAGTGACAATGCCCTGGTTTTTTTTTGGCAATGTCCAAAAATATTAATTGCATTCAAATTATAACTTGGACAATATCGCAAATTGCGTGAGAAAAGTAATTAATACTTAATTACAGTGAATTAAATTGTCAATTTAATTTCAGTGCAACAGGCAAAACAATGGAAATGCTGTTGGAATTCTCTGCTCTCCGCTGTGTAACAGAAAAGAAATACATTCCCTTGTTTGCGAAAATTTACATGTAGGAAAAGAGGCTGTTTTTTCAGCTCAATGGGAAAGCACCAAATTAGTTTTTAAAGCTGCAAAGTTCGTTGCAACAATTTTTTAGTTTTTAAAAATTAATTTTCATTCTATTATATTTTGTGGCTAAATTAATAATATTTAGTAATAATACAAATAAATTAGAAAAATAAAAAATTTTTTTTTAATTCTTTTTTCTCCAGAACAGAAATAAATATTGAACAAACAGAATTCCTATTATGGGAGGACGCAAACGGTTTCAAGCATTATCCATCGGAAACGGAATTTGCCAGTATGATGAAGGATGTGGTGTTCAATAAATTAAATTACACAATGTCAACACATCAACTTGAAAGATTGTCACGTCTTCAAGCAAGTAAAATTGAAACTGAAACGAAAAAACGACAATTGGAAATGGAGTATGTCTGGTCATTAATACAAAAACAAGAATACATCATGACAATTTTATTCGAAGATAAAGATGTTTTTCCACAATTAATTGGTACATGCGGCACATTTTACGCTGTCGAATATATTAAACCAATTGAAACACAAATCACTGTATTTGTATTATCCGATTCAATGCCAGAATGGTCGAGACGAGTGAAATTAGCCATTATGATACTTGATCTTTTACAAGATTTAGAAACAGTATTCACTGAACCATTTCATATCTGTGATGTGAGAATCAATCATTTCGGTCTATCACCAGGTGGGCAGAAATTAAAGTATCTCGATCTCGATGACGTTTATCCAAAATCGGTATTAAATAAAAAAGTGAATACAAATAAAAAATGTAAAAGAAATACAGACTGTGATATCTTAGGTTGCAGATCGATCTGCTCAAAAAATAAACGCTGTGAATCACCAGTGACTAATAATAATTTACAAGTTAGTATTTTACGTATTTTTTCTTTTACCAAATAAATAAGCAAAAAGTTATTGTTCCTAAAATTTCGAATCCTCTGGTGAATGAAGATATTTTTGTTAATTCATTTAATTCATGTTTTATTACACAAATTATTTTTTTTTCCTGTTAATAACTTCAATTCTAAATTCTTCTAAACTTCAATTATTTTCCAAACTTTTAGCAAGAAATTTTAGAAATGTTAAAATTCTTCAAAAATTCAATTTTATCTAAGAATAATTTTTAAGAGTGAAAAAATTCATTTTTTTAAAGCATGAAATTTATTTCAATTAAATTTGACAAAATTTTCCACTAATTGGAAATTTAAATAAATAATTTTAATTTTTTTTAAATTTAATTAAAATTTTTTCAAAAGACAAATGTTTTTTTATAATTATTAAATTAAATTATTCAAATTTTCAAATTTTGGTTCAATAAGTAGGTATACAAATACTTATTATATTTATTTTTCTACAGAAATTAAAATTAGAAACAATTTTAATGTAAAACCTTCTTCAAATTTATAACAATTTATTTCTATAAAAATTCATATTATAACGTATTTAATATTCAATTATTATAATTTAAAATTTTAACTGTACCTAATTTATTTTTAAATCAATATTCTTATTAAAAAATTCTACAAGAATCCAATATTGTTTATATACAAAAATAAATAATTAATAGAATAACTAATTGTTTCTTAACATTGAATATTAAAAAAGAGTTTTATCAAGATTTTTGAAAATAATTCATTCCTTTCGAAGAATATTAATAAAATTTTAGAAAATAATTACATTTTTCGAGGAATTCATTTCAAACTGTATTCAAAATAATTCAAATTTTGTAAAGAATTTTATTATTTATAAAAATAATTGAAAATTAAATTCTAGCAACGAATTTTTTTATTTATAAAAATAATTGAATTTTTGCAAAGAAATTTTATTATTTATAAAAATAATTGAATTCCTGGGAGAAATTTTACAATTTTTAAAAATAATTGAATTCTTTTTTTCATTTTATAAAAATTTAAAAGAATAATTCAAATATTACGAATAAATTAATTAAAATAGGATTAAAAATAATAGATTTTTTGCGATTAATTTTATTATTTATGAAAATAATAATTTAACTATTAAGTTTGTCAAAATTTTACACTGAAAAAAAAATTCGGCAGAATGTGCTTTTTACTCAGGCAATTTTTGCCTAAGAACAAAAGCAATACACGTAAAGCAATTGTTTCTTTTAAAAAAAGGCAATTTTTGCTTTTAAAAAAGGCAAAAATTTTAACTAAGGCAATTTTTACCTTTTTAAAAGGCAAAAATTGCCTTTTTTAAAAGAAACAATTGCTTTACGTGTATTGCTTTTGTTCTTAGGCAAAAATTGCCTGAGTAAAAAGCACATTCTGCCGAATTTTTTTTTCAGTGTAGAATATAATTAATTTTTTCCAAAGGATTTTATTAACATATTTAAATAATTGATTTCTTTGGAAAAAATTTCTTAAAAATTATATTTCACACAATTGAATTACATTGAAAATGTTATTATATTTATGATATTATTTGAATTTTTGATTTGAATTATATTCAATTTTTTAAAATAAGTGAAGTAGTTTAAATTATTTTGTGGAAATTTTCGAAATTAATTAAAAGATTTCAAAGAACTAAATTAAACTTGTATTGAAAATAATTGAATTCCTCTGAAGAATTTTATTATTTATGAAAATAATTGAATTCTTTTTCAAGAATGTTATTAAAATTATATTTCAAATAATTGAATTTATCTAAAGAATTGTATTATTTATGAAAACAATTGAATTTCTACGTAGAATTTATTACAATTTAAAAAAAATGAATTCTTTCCAGAAATTTTATGAAAATTGTATTAAAAATAATTGAATTCTTGTTATGAATTTTATTATTTATGAAAATAATTTAATTCCTATAAACAAAAAATTTTGAGAAAATAGTTAATTTATTTTTAAAAAATTTTATTAAAATTGAATTGTGTCAAAGAATTTAATAAAAAAAATTTCCATTTTAAAAAAGAATTTTATTAAAATTTTCAAGTAGAATTTTTTTTATTCCACTGTTAGCGAATTTAAACTCGTGAAAATTCTCAAAAACAGGAAAAAGTAGCTTTTAGTGGCACAAATTTAAAAAAAAAGTATCCAAATTGTAGTTAATCGTAAAAAAGTAGTAAATAGTAGGTTTTAGTAGGTAAATTTTGAAAACTATTTAAGCAGAAAAAAATTTCTTTCACTTGAACGTTTAAATATTTAAAAAAATAAAATTTCAAAATATTAAATAAAAATTTTTTTAGAATTAATTGTAAAGTTTTTCGAGAAATTTTATTAAAATTGTATGAAAAATAATTTAATTCATGCGAAAAATTTTACTATTTATGAAAACAATTAAATTCTTTGGAGGAGTTAAATAAAATTGTATTGTAAAAAATTTGAAATCTTAAAATTTTTTTAAATAATTGAATTGTTTCGAATAATTCTATATCTGTTAACTTTTTTTTAAAATAATTTAATTCTATTGAGAAATTTTATTAGAATTGCATTGAAAATAATTGAATTTTTTTGAGTAATTTTTTTTTTAAACTTTTAGAAATAAAAATGTTTTAATTTAAAAAACATTTTAAAAATACTTAAAGAAAAAAAATTTCATTCATTTGAAGGTTTAGAACTTCAGAAAAATAAAAATTACAAAAATAAAATCGAATAATAATAAAAAATTGTTAAATTCCAACAAAAAATTTTTATATTTTTGAAAATAATTGAATTGTTGCCAAAAATTTTATTATTAATTTTTTCAGTTAATTTGTGAAAAAATTTTTCTCGATTGGCCAATTTCGAGATTAATTATAAGTCCAGGATTATTAATGTCCAAGCACACTAACGATTCATTGGCTATTCTTTTGAGACAATGTGCAAATCCAAATGGAGATATGTCACAATTAAGTCGAGTTGCTGCTCCAGAAAATTTAAAATTACGTTTATATAATATATTAAGTGATATGGATAAGGAATTATCTTCACAACTTCCACGAAAATAAATAAATACATATTTTCTCCTGTTTCATATAAAATTTAAAAAAAAAATTGTTTTAAAGAAAAAAAAAATTTTTTAATGAAAATTTCACCTGGAATGCCCCATATGTAGGTTTATCTGAACAAATTGTATTTTCACTAGTAAAGTATATAATACTATCTCGAAACGGTTTTTTTTATGACCAGGATAATTTTTAAATTTGTTTTTTTCGCTTGCTGTAGAATCATAAAATTGGATATTAACCCCTTTTGTTATGACACCATTCAAATAATGTCTAATAATAATAACTCTCGATACAAAAAAAAAATCAAAACATAAAATTTTTATTCATTTTGATTTTTTTTTTGTATTGAGAGATACAAAAAATAATTAAGCAATTTGCCTTAAAATAAAAGAAAAATGTCGAATTTGAAGAATTTTCGATTTTTGGTACAAGTGATAAGGGTAGTTTTTATTACCAAAGGGTAGAGCCAACAAACTATGCAGGGTGTTTTTGAAGAGCCCAAAAATAATTAAGTTAAATTCCATAAAGAGGAAAGAAAAATGTGACTCTTTCTAAATTTCAACAATTATCAATTATTAAATTGAAATACTTTGAAAATTCGATTTGTTAAAAAGTTTTCAATAAAATTCTTTAACAAATTTAATTATTTTCAGTTGAATTTCACAAAATTTCACAAAATTTCTATTAATTCGATAATTTTTTTTTGATTTATTTGTCGTACTAAATTTCAATCAGTGATGACTGATTTTTTACAATCAAGTTAATTATTTTTATAACTAATTTAAATTTAGAGAACAGTATAAATATAAATATCTATAAAAATTGAGATAGAAGGCGATTTTTTAAAAACAAATTAAAATAATAAAAGTTTTTTTAATTTGGTGAAAAAATTCCTGGTTTGGTATAAAATTCCTGTCTTATTCCCGATTTTCCCCAGTCAAATTAAATTCCCGGCTCTTTCCCGGATTTCTCTGTTAGTACACACCCTGTAACTTTTTTCTTTGATTAAAATAAATTTTATGCAATTCCAATTAAATTTTCTTTGATTCAAGTAAATTATTTCTGTGGATATAAAAAGTGCCCTGAAAAGTTACGTTCCTGTGCGTTTGTATAAAGCACAAACTCTAGAAAGCTCATTGCGATGGCGCAACGTCGTCGCGCGGCTCGCGTGTGCCGCAGATCATACCGCATTGCTTGCAATGTGTGTATAGTTATTCCCGCTTCCTTACTACAACGTACACTCAGTTCGTACTGAATAGAAAAGGGGGATACGAGTTAAAACGACAGAAAAAAGAGACAGAAAGCTAAAGCAAAAGGGATCCTTTCGCAGCTTCATAATATTTTCATTAAAAAAAAAAAAAAAATCTCAAAAACAATATACATGAATTATTCGACATGACGCTTATTCAACTCAAATACAATACACGATCTGTATTACAGTTGGAAATTTTCTCTCATCCTCCCTAAATGTATAACTGGAGGAAAAAGGCAATAAACGTGCAACGATTTTTTTTTTTTTTTTGCAAAAAAAGGAATCTCACCTATTATTCTGAAGGTATTCACATTGTCAGAAATCATGAATATCCGTCGACTGCCTGGCTTCATGTATCACTATAAGATCGTCGCTATTTTAATGTTAACGTTCCTTTTTTTAATTGTTTATCTCCTCATTTATTGGGGTATAATGTGCACAAATCTTCAAGCCTGGCGTCACGTGTCAAACGTTGTGAGTAGAAAAAGAAATATTTTCACAATTTACTTTTTATATGTTAAAAAAAATATTTACATTTTTAGTGCAAAATTTAAATATTAACCGCACGTTTTTTTTTTTTTTGACACATCTCCACACACATGACACAACGGGAATTAATGCGTAAAAAAATACCACTGTTAATACCGTTAGAATATATTTCGTTTCATTTTGTATACTTGCTATGTGAAGAGATATTACGAGATTTTACTATGAAGAGAGAGAGAATGGTTGAGGGTCAAATCAAAATGCGCCCGCGCCTTATTATCGGGGGATAAAGAAGGGGTGGGATTAGAATTTCGGAGTATCGAATCCATACGCCAAGAAAATTTTTTTTTTTTTTACATATAAAAATAGAATTAAAATTAGTTTTTATTATTTGACTAAAATTTCGTTTATTATTATTTTTGTAATAGAGGTTTTTTTTCGAAATTAATATTTCTTTAGGGCATTTGAATCATTAAGACGTAGTTTTTGCAAAGCATGTGTTCTAAAACTGTGACGTCATAAAATGGTTCAAAATGCCCTTAAAAAAGCAAATACTTTTCAAATATTTTTTTAATTATTTACTGAAGAAAATTTATTTGATTCAAATAACCGATTGTCAAATTAATATTTTACTTGAATCAGGTAATACTTTATACATTTCTTATAAAATATTTCATGTAAATTATTTAAATATTTATTTGCTAATTCTTTGAAAATATCAAATGAACAAATTATGAGTTGTAAACATTCACTTATATAAGACAAAATACATAATTATTGAATGAGTGAAAAATAAATTAGTTTTTTTTTTAAAACAAACAAACTATAAACAAACAAAATTGCTTTGAATTGAACTAATCGGTTAGTTGACTATCGTCAGTAAGTAAATATTTATACTTGAGTCAAATAATGTTTATTTCAATCAATTTTATTTAAAGGAATACATTTTTTTTAACATAAATATAATAATTATTTTGATGTAAACAAATAAGGTGAAGAATAAACAAAAAATTAATTTATTATAAATATTATTCAATTTATATTGAAAATTAATTAAACATTAATTTTTAATTAATTACGATTATAATATAATTCTATTATAATTACAATTACTTTAATTTTGTTTTATAAAATAATTTGTTTACAGACTACTTAAATTGAAAATAAATAAAAAACAATAAATAAATTATATGTATAGTTTTAATTTTATATCTTTAGTGTCACAATAATTATCTATTTATAGAAAAATGCAAACTCGCATGAACGATTGCCATTTTCATGCGAATATATATTGTGTTGTAAATGAAAAAGAAAAAAACAAAACAGTTATTCAGCATATTCACCTCTTCAATATTAATTAACCGGATGTGTAATCGTTTAATTTCCCATTGTTTAGTTATACAAACTTATAGCTTTGAAAAGAAAAAAATTTATTTGATTCAAATAATCATTTCTTTGAATTTAATTAAATAAATATTTATTTGCATTAAATAAGAACTAAAACGCGCAATATTTTGGATTTAAGGTTTATAAAAAATTGGGAAAATTGAAAAAATATAACAATTGAAAGAATAAATTTTTCATTTCAAGTTAAAAATTATTTTCCACAAATAAAGAGTAGGTATTTTTACGAATAAAAATTATTTTATACAAATAAAAATTATTTGCTACTAGTAAAAAGTATTTTATACAAATAAAAATTATTTGCTACTAGTAAAAAGTATTTTATACAAATAAAAATTATTTGCTACTAGTAAAAAGCATTTTTTACAAAATACAAATAAAATTTATTTGATGCGAATAAAAATTATAATTTGGTGCGAAAACACATAAATTTTTTTCTTGAATAAAGTTAATTTAAAAACCTATTTGTTAATTGAAAACTATATACATGAACTATTTTAATAAACTTCTGAAATAATTAATTTTTATTAACTATTATGATATTTATTAATACGAATTGAAAAATTTGATTACAAATTTTTTTCTAAAAGCTGTATTACCTATAGTATATTCTAAGAAAAAGTTAAAAAATGAACTTTTGTTTCTGAATCTTTAAGACCAAAAGTTCATTTTAAACCTGAATGAATCTCTTAGGCCCATTTTCAAACTTATCACACAAGAATAATGCATTTCTTTGTTTCAATATTACCCTCTCATTCTCTATTTGAAAATCGAAAAAAACATAATTATTTCACGCTTAATAATGATTTCACACATAAGTTGGTTTAAAAATAAAAACACGTTCATTCAGAGATATGTTACAAAACACTTTGAAAAAAATGTAATTTTCTCTTTGAAATTTTTTAATTAAAAATACCAAGAACGTTCTCTCTCTCTCTCTCTCTCTCTCTCTCTATTGCAGTTCATAGAAAATTTTTCTCGTAAAATAAATTAATTTTCGCATAAATTTTAAATATAACGTTTTATAAAATAAATTAAAATTGAATAAATTATAATATAACATTAAATTGAATTAAAATTTTACTAAAATTATTTGTTAACTTTAAATTATTATTAAAATATATAAATACTTATTATCTTAATAACTCAGACATTAATTAAGTTACTAATTAATAACAAAAATTAATTCACAACTTATTTATTTATTATTTAAAAGAATTAAATTTATTTATTAAATTAAATTTATTTAATTAATTAATTAATTAATTAAATTTATTTATTAATTAAATTGATGTGTCAAAAAAAAGTAATTAATAATTAATTACAATGAATTAAATTGTCAATTTAATTTCAGTGCAGAAGGCACAACTCTGGAAATGCTGTGGGAATTCTCTGCTCTCCTCTGTGTAACAGACAAGGAATACATTCCCTTGTTTGCGAAACTTTACATGCGGGAAAAGAGGCTGTTTTTTCAGCTCACTGGGAAAGCACCAAATTAGTTTTTAAAGCTGCAAGGTTCGTTGAAACATTTTTTACATATTTAAAAAATTTACTTTTCACTCTGTCATAAAACGTTATTGAATTTTATTTTATTTTATTTTATATTATTTAGTAATAATGCCAACGAATTAAAAAATCTATTTTATGTATTTTTCAGTTGATTGTTCTTCTTGTATTTTTATTTCTGTATTTTGCAATATTTAGTATAATTATAATATACCTACTTAGTCGAATTTTCGAATAAAAATTGATTTAAAAATGAATTTTTTATACTTTTAACTAACAATTCTGTAGAATTAATTTTTTTAGACACATTAAATTTTGCTAATAAATATTTTCAAAAATGTATTAATTTGTTATTAGTAAATTCGAATTATTTAAAAATAAAAAAAATTAGTGATTAATTCTAATTAATTAAATAATATTTAGTAATAATATTTAGTGTTAGTAATATTTTGTAATAATATTTAGTATGAATAATATTTATCAATAATAATAAAATTGAAATATGCAAATTAGGTATCATTATAATTATTAATTAATCGTTTTTTTCCAGAACGGAAATAACAATTGAACAAGCAGAATCACTTTTATGGGAGGACGCAAACGGTTTCAAGCATTATCCATCGGAAACGGAATTTGCCAGTATGATGAAGGATGTGGTGTTCAATAAATTAAATTACACAATGTCAACACATCAACTTGAAAGATTGTCACGTCTTCGAACGAGCAAAATTGAAACTGAAACTGAAAAACGACAATTGGAAATGGAGAATGTCTGGCCATTAGTACAAGAACAAGAATATATTATGACAATTTTATTCGAGGATAGAGATGTATTTCCACAATTAATTGGTACATGCGGCACATTTTACGCTGTCGAATATATTAGACCAATTGAAACGCCAACCACGGTATTGGCATTATCCGATTCAATGCCAGAATGGTCGAAACGAGTAAAATTAGCCGTTATGATACTTGATCTTTTGCAAGATTTGCAAACAGTATTTACCGAACCATTTCATCTATGTGATGTGAAAATCAATCATTTCGGTCTACCACCAGGTGGACAGAAATTGAAATTTCTCGATCTCGATGCTGTGTTTCCAAAATCGGTATTAAATAAAATAATTAACAATAATAAAGAATGTGAAAGAAATGAGGACTGCGATTATTTCGATTGCAGATCGATCTGCTCGAAAAATAAACGCTGCGAATCACCAGTGGCTAATAATAATTTACAAGTTAGTATTTTAAGTATTTTTTCAATTACCAAAAAATAAGCAAAAATGATTATTTCTAAAATTTCGAATCTTCAAATGAATGACGATATTTTTGTTACTTCATTTAATTTACGTTTTATTATAAAAATTATTTTTATATTGAAAAAAATTAATTCTTAACTAAATAAAAATGTTTAATTTATATTATTTTACATTTCATTTAGTAAATTTTGAAAACTATTTAAGCAGAAAAAAATTTCTTTCACTTGAACTTTCAGAACTTTAGAAAAATAAAAATTCAAAATATTAAATAACAATTTTTTTAATGTAAGAAATATTAAATTTTTGTAATTAATTAAATTCTTTTGAGGAATTGTATTCTTATAAGAGTTTTCTCGAAATTTCTGAAAATAATTGAATTGTCTCGAGTAATTCTAATCTTTTTTTAAATTGTATTGAAGATAATTAAATTCCTACAAAGAATGAATGACAATAATTTTAACTTAATGAAACTAATTAAATTTAAAAATTGCACAATTTATTATTTTTGAAAATAATTGAATTTTTTTAAGAAATTCTATTAAAACTTTTAATTGGTATGTTTTTAGGACCTTAATTTTTGTCAAAAAACAGTATTTGACATTGAAACTTTTAGAAATAATTGTAAATACTTTAAAGAAATTTTAATAAAATTGTATTAAAAATTATTGACTTTTTTCGAGTAATTATTAAATATTTTAGAATTAATTGTAAAGTTTTTCTCTAAATATTATTAAAATTGTATGGAAAATAATTTAATTCATGCGAAAATTATTATTATTAATGAAAATAATTTAAATCTTGTTAAGAATTTTATTAAAACTGTTGAAAATAATTAAACTCTTTGGAGTAAATGAAATAAAATTGTATTGGAAAAAATTAAAATCTTAAACTTTTTGAAAACAATTGAATTGTTTGGAGTAATTCTAGCTTTTAACTTTTTTTTTTAAAATAATTGAATTCTTTTGAGAAATTCTTTCGAGAAATTTTATTAAAATTGTAGATTAAAAATAATTGACTTTTTGAGAGTATAATTATTAAATCTTTTAGAATTAATTGTACATTTTTTCGAGAAATTTTATTAAAATTGTATAAAAAATAATTTAATCCATTCGAAAACTTTTATTATTAATGAAAATAATTTAAATCATGCTTAGAATTTTTTTAGAATAAAAAAATTTTATTTATAGAATAAATATTATGAAATGTTTAAACTTTAAATATGTTTTATTTTTTGATTTCAGATAGTTTGTGAAAAGATTTTTCTCGGTTGGACAATTTCGGGAACAATTATAATTCCAGGATTATTAATGTCTGAGCATACTAGCGATTCATTGGCTATTCTTTTGAGGCAATGTGCAAATCCAAATGGAGATATGTCACAATTGGCTCGAGCTGCTGCTCCAGAAAATTTAAAATCACGTTTATATACTATGTTAAGTGATATAGATAAGGAATTATCTTCTTCCTAGTAGAGTGTAAATTTTTTTTTTATCGAGAGTCGTGAGAAATTTATTCAATTTGGTGCAATTTAAGAAAGAAAAAATTGGTCGAAAATAAATTTTGTTGATATTTTGTCACTTTGAAGTATATTCAGGATCGTAAAAAGTTATTTTTGCAGAAGGTTAGGAAATAAAATTTTACTAGATTTGCAAAATAGTTATAAATTTAAAAAAAGATTTTATATTTAAATATTAAAACTCTGAACATTTGTAAAAATAACAAAAAAAATTATTCTCAACCATTTTTTTCTTCTGTGAAACGCTCCAAAATTGCAAATGATGAAAAATGAGACTTTTTTTAAGAACATTTAATTGATTGTTAATGAACTTTTTAAAATGAATTAGAAAATTGTTCGGATCGAATTTTTTATGAAATCGATTCAAATTGTAATTAATCGCACATAATCATAATTAGTGCAACGCCAATTGAGTGAAATGAGCCATTTAAACAATTTTGTAAAAATTTCAGCTGTAACTATTTTTATTAATCAACATTTTCTTAATTAATTTACTAAAAGTTTTATTAAAATTATTAAAAAGTGTAAATAATTTATGTACAAGTGAGTAAATTAAGAAAATGGGAGATTATTAATATGGGCTGAAATTTCTACTCATTTTTTATTACTTTATTACTTAAATTATATTTTCAACTTAATATTTTTTAATATAGGATTTGATATAATTTTTTTAAGTCATAATAATTTTGTTAACACATTATTTTCATTTTACTTTTAATTATTTTAAATTAATGTTTAATTTCTTTCTTTTAATTATTTATTTATAGGAATAGAAATAATTATTTTAAGTCTGCTCAAACAAGTCCAATTTATTATTATATTGTCCGAAAGATCTGATGCCTTAAAATCGAAAGGATGATAGAATATTATAATAATATTAATTTTTATATATTTTTAAAATAGAATTAATTTTTTTAATTTATATAGTATTTTAAAAAAATTTAACTAATTATAAATTAATATTATTAAATTGTTAATTAACAAAATTAATTAATATATGTGATTAATAATAATTATCAATCAAAAAAATTAATTAATATCGTTCGTTTAAATATTGTATTGAAATATTAAAAGAAATTTTTTTTCTTCATATAGTAATATTTTTAGTGCAAAAGATGATAATAAATGTAGTGCAAAAATATTTGCTTCATTTTTACACATTGCAGCAATAAAAAAAATTATGAAAAAATAGTGCAAAGAAAATTAATTTATAAAAAGTAATAACGAATTAGAAATACTATTTAAGTAAAATATTATTTAGATATATTTCTAGTTAATAGAAAAATTTTAAAAATCAAACGAAGACGCAGTGTATTTTTGTTAGTACTCTTATAGGCTGATTAAAAATAATTTTAAAAATTCGTTACTTAATTAAAAATGACTTTGATAAATAAAAATTACAGTTTTTTATTATCTTCGTAATAAAGTAGAATTTCAAATTCAATGGTTTTTCATTTTACATTTTGATTTTAATATTCACACGTATACGCTATTATTAAATTTCTAAAAAAAATTTAATTGTTTTTTATTTCTACTATTGTGTAATATTATAAATTATATTTTTTAATTATTATATAATATATTAAGCAAATTAAAAAATTGTTTACTTTATCAATTTTTGAATAATATCAGATTCAAAATTAAAGAAAATTCACTTATTAACTATAATTAATTATTATTTATTAATTTAAAAGATTATATAATAAAATTCTTAGCAAGAATTTTATTAATTTCATGAATAATAAAATTTTTCACAGGAATTTAATTATTTTTTATAAATAATAAACAATTATTTTCAAAAATATTGATAAAATTATTAATAAGAATTTATTTATTTTGAATATATTAATTTTTAAATTTGAAATCTTAATTAAAAAGAAAAATTATTTAAAAAATTAGGAAACAAAAATGCAAACAAGCAACGATTATTAATATAGATTTTTTATTTATTTAATATTAATTAATTAATTAATAATTTATTTATTATAAATAATTTATTTACTCATTGTATTAGTAATTTATTTATTTGTTATTACCAGAAAAAATTTAATTTGACACTATATGTATTTAATTTTGATTCTATTAATTATTAATTACTAAAAAAGTTCAAGTATTTGTTCTTATTTAAAAAATTGACATATTTTTTTTTATTTAAAAATATTGTTTTTAAAATTTTTTAAATATTGATAAATGTCAGGGTTCTGAGGCCCTTTTTAGCATAACAAAAAAGCGGAGAGAAAGTCCCTCTCTAAGTTGTCTTATAGTTTATGGTGGACGATATCCGTCTCCATTTTCTCCTCAATTTTCGTCTGCACCCTGTTTGCAATTATATTTTTTTCAAAAAGGTTTAATTAAATACTATAATTATGTTTAAATTCGGAGAATATCAACCGGATTATAATCCAAAAATCCATGGTACTTACGATCCTGCTCGCTTCTATGGAAAACGTAAGTATTTTATGTAATTTCTATTATTAAAACTTTAAATGACAGACTAACTGAAATTTTCTCTTGTCTTTTTTCAATTTTAAAAGCTGATACACCTTTTGGAGAAGTAAAATTGAGAGAACTTGGATCGTGGTTTAGTCGCCGTCAAAAATCACCACAGGCTTTTGCTCAATTAGTTTCAAGAGGTAATTTATTTTTTTTCTGAAAAAAAATTCATTTTTCTCAAGAATCGATTTGTACAGTTGCATAACCTCCAAACGAACAAAGTTTTTCATTAAAAGCGTATTACATAACGAGGAACAAATTTCCTAAAAATGGAGAAATAATTTGAAAATAAGTATTTGCATTACGGGAAAAAGTTTGAATTAATACTGAAGTTTGTTTTTTTTTCTTTTAGCCTGGTGGCGTTGGCAACATAAATATATGTTGCCCAAAAATGCATTATTTGTTGGACCCATGCAATTAGTTTTTGGTGGAATGGCTTTATTCTATTGGATAAATTACGGAAAATTAAGTAAGTATCGAACTTTTTTAATTTTTACTTTATTTATAATTCATTTTTTATTATTTTCTATTAATATTTACATTTTTTAGATTTTTAAACCTAAAAATCTTTTGCTAAAATTTTTATTGTGTCTTAAAAATTTTGTTTTGTTAAATTTTGTTTTTAACTATTTAATACAAGTTTTTAACAAAAAGTTTTGTATTTTTAATTCCTTAAGGGAAGAAAATAACTAATTTTCTTTATTTTTGAAATGACTAAGAAGTAAAGAGTTTTCTCTCTTTTTTTTTTGCAGAACATCACAAGAACTTCAAGTACCACTAAAAATTATCAGCAATCTTTCGCAATTATAGAAAAATTCAGAATACGAAAAAAAATAAAATGTATAATAAATAAACGAGAGGTAATTCTATTCTCGTGTAATTGTAAATGTTAATTATTTCAAGTTTGATTTATTACCTCATCCGAAATATAAACAACAAAAACTGGAAAATTTATTTTATTTATAGAATAATAATTATTAATTAATATTTTAGAAAGTCAAATAAAATTAGCGGTTAAAAAGGAGGCCATATTTAAATTTGGCTGGTTTTCCCGCTCAAGATAGATCGAATGACAAACAACCAATCAAATTACTTTCCATTGTGGAAATTTCCTAATGTCCCTAGAAGTCAAAATTCCCTAGTTTATATCAAATGTTTATGTTTGTTTAAATATAATATTATTGATACAAATATAACTAACTTACATTCACAATTTAAAATGATCAAGTCTTAAAATTGTTTTTAATAAATCAACAAACTTACATCCCTCCAACTTCTTGAAAGAAACTAGCATTAAACTTTATTCACAGTACCCGATATTCTGAAATTGTCCACAAGCGGAAATGTGGGCCAATTGACGCGTGGGGACTTTGACATCTGGTGATATTGGACAATTTCCGGGCTTGTTCGCAGTGAAAAGGGGAGAGGAGTGCGCGGTTGTTCGGGCGGCCATTGCGAGTACCTTGTCGAAAATTGCGTTCGCGAGTTCAAGTTCTGTGCTTTTTTCGGCAACATCCAAGATAATCAGGAACTATTTTATTCGCAAGGTGCTACAAGTAAAGCCCCGGGACGTGCAAACAACCCCGGCCCGATGGCTGAAACCGACAAACTCAACATTGACAGCATTATAGCTCGGCTCTTGGAAGGTAAAGTTAGTCAATGATTGCTACTGGGGGGAACGCTGCGACAGTACAGTGCTTACGTCTTTACTTTATAATTAAAAATTCCATTACACTGGCAATATACGTTTTTGTATATCAGTGTCAAGGACAAATGTAGCCCTTGGGTTCCCTTTTTTGTCAGGTTACGCAACTCAGAATACAATTTTGGTGTGATTTATATCTAACGTCCACTATCAGAGATTAAGAATTTGTCATACAAATCAAGTTTGTTTACATAAAACATTTATTGGCAATCATAGAACAGTCCATCTTTAATTTTCGATCTGATCGAATAGAATTTACATATTAAAATATTTTAGATTCCGGCGTCATCAGAGAATTTTGGTTATTCTTTCGTTTTCTCATCCTGATTTCATTCTAATAGACGCCTTAAACTTTACAACGTACTTTCATTTAGTTTCATTTTATTTTGCATTAAAATTTCAATTCAATTAAATTGTTTCTCAATTTTATTTTAAAAATAATCAATTTTACCGTCCGCTTTCAAAGTTGTTGAGAGTATAAAACATTGAGGGCGGGGCGGGATTGATTGGAGCAGTGGGGTGAATCCTCGTTTTTTTTTATTGCAAACGAATTTGGGTTCTTATTACGTAAGTTTTAGAATTATTTTATAGTTCTAAACAATTCGAGTGTTTAAATGTCAAATTAGACACATTTGGAATGTGTTTTGAAAAAGGGATTTGAAATAAGGTTGATGGAAAGAATTTTTACCTGCTTGAGTACGGGTGAAAGTCATCTAGGACAAGATAGAAAACAGGAACTGGTAGCTTGTAGTAATTTGACTTTATAAATTATAATCTTTTTTTTCTGAAATTAGATTAGAAAAATGGATAGCAAAATTCAAACAAAAATGAGTCATTGTTATTATAATTAAAGTCATTAAAACTACATAATAATGACTTTCTTAACTTCAATGATTCTTTAAAATCAAAATAATTAGCTTTCCATTCGTAATGGATAAGGAAAAGACGTAATTGAGAGAACGGTAATTTTTTTCGTATTATTGTTTTTATAATGCAAATTCGTTGATTACATGTTACATAGAGAATAAAGTTCATCTCAAACGTAACTTTATTTCAAATTAACATTGATTTTATAGACGTTGCTTCTCATCTTCATTTATTTTTATAGATGAAGTGTTTTTTACAGATGACGAATTTTTTTTTATAGATGAACTGCCTTTTTAATAGATGAACTATTTTTTGATAGAACTATTTTTTAATAGCACAATTTTTTTAATAAACATGATTTTTGTAATAATCAAATAATTTTTTTTACTAAACGAAAGATATTTAAAAGTAATTTTCGAAATTTTTCTTTTTCCAGTACGGGGAGCACGACCTGGAAAAAATGTTCAGCTGACAGAGGGCGAAATTCGAGGACTTTGTTTAAAGTCCCGAGAAATATTTCTCTCGCAGCCAATTCTACTCGAATTAGAGGCACCCTTAAAAATTTGTGGTACGTATTTAATATTTATTAAGTTTCTATTTTTTTATTTCTGTAGAATCTAGATTAATAGAAAGTGAGTTAGAAAAACGTATCTTTCTAATTGCAAAGTATAGAAAAAGTGCTTTTATTAAACTTGAATATAATTCATAATGTTTCTAATCGTTTAGAAGAAATATTTTTCTCGTTTAAAGGAAAGATTTTTGAAATTTTCCCAAAAGTTTTCAACCAGGGTGGCCACATGTCAGTAAAGTCAGGGAAATGTCAGGGAAAAAATATTTTGTCAGTAAAGTCAGGGAAATGTCAGGAAAAAAAATTTTTTGTCAGTAAAATCAGGGAAATGTCAGGAAAAATTTTTTTGTCAGGGCAATTAAAAAAATTAAAACGTTCATGCAATACCAGGGTGGCCACATGTCAGTAAAGTCAGGGAAATGTCAGGGAAAAAAATATTTTGTCAGTAAAGTCAGGGAAATGTCAGGAAAAAAATTTTTTGTCAGTAAAGTCAGGGAAATGTCAGGAAAAATTTTTTTGTCAGGGCAATTAAAGAAGAAGGGAAATGTCAGGAAAAATAATTTTTTGTCAGTAAAGTCAGGGAAATGTCAGGAAAAATTTTTTTGTCAGGGCAATTAAAGAAATTAAGACGGTCATGGAATACATTTTTTGCTCTAAACAAAAAAATTTTTGTCAGGGAAATTCGTTGTTATGTTAGTAAAATGTCAGGGAAATTGATAAAGTCAATCTTGCGGCCACCCTGAATACATTTTTTGCTCTAAACAAAAAAATTTTTGTCAGGGAAATTTCGTTTTTATGTCAGTAAAATGTCAGGGAAGTTGATAAAGTCAATCTTGCGGCCACCCTGTCAACGTTTAAATCAACGAAATATTTTTTGTGCTTCAATATTTTTAAAAAATACTCGACTAAAATGAAAAATATTATAATTAAATATTTATTTAGTTTAAAAGTTAATTTTTTTTATTATAGAAAGCAATATTTTGTAAATATTTAAAAGAAGTAATAAAAATGTGATCGTTCATATCAACGTTCGAAACTTTAGAGTTATTTTTTGAAATAAAAATTAAATGAAAACGATTTTAGAAAATGTAAACTGTTAGTAAACTAAAAATTTGTAAATAAATTTCTAATTTACCCGTTTAACTGAATAAATAAAAAAATTTGAAACTTTAGGGCCATTTTTTTAAACAAAAATGTTTTTACAAAAATTTAAACAAAAAGTTCGTAAATAAATTTATTTTCTAATTCGAAACTTTAGGAGAAATTTTTTAAATGAAAATGTTTCTGCAAAATTGAAACATTTTTTTTAAATTTATACGTTATTAAACGAAAATTCGTGGGGACAGGGACATTTTTTTAAATGAAAATTAAATAAAAGTGTTTTTACAAAATTTTTAAATGGAAAATTCGTAAATAAAATCTTATTTAGAAGGATTTTCAACTTTAGGAAGATTTTTCGAAATGAAAATGTTTTTACAAAATTTAAACAAAATTAACAAATTTCATTAAAGAAATAACAAATTTAAACAAAATTTGTAAATAAATTTCTAATTTGAAATTTTAAAAGAAATTTTTTAAATGGAAATGTTTTTGCAAAATTAAAACAATTTTTTTAAATTTATACATTTTTAAACGAAAATTTCATAAATAAATGTATTCTATTCGAAACTTTACAGGAATATTTTTTGAAATGAAAATTAAATGAAAATGTTTTTACAAAATTTAAACGAAAAATTCGTAAAACTTCGCTATTTTGGATGAAAAATATTTTTTCTACAAATTGTAATTAAGAATTGTATATAAATATTTTTTTTGTAAATATTGATCAATTTTGTGAATGTTGATTAATTGATGTAAAAATTGATAAAATTGAAAATTCTTAAATTTGATAATTTTGAAATTTGACAGGTGACATTCATGGACAATATTATGACCTGCTTCGACTTTTCGAGTACGGAGGATTTCCACCCGAGAGTAACTATCTATTTTTAGGAGATTATGTCGATCGAGGGAAACAATCTTTAGAGACAATTTGTCTTCTTCTTGCCTATAAGATCAAGTACCCTGAAAATTTTTTCCTGTTGAGAGGAAATCACGAGTGTGCATCGATTAACAGGATATATGGCTTTTACGATGAATGTAAGACTTATTTTATAATTTTTAATTTAAATTTCATTTTTCAAAAATGAGGAGGAAGAAAACTTAAAATTTCTCTTGTAAAAGAAAAGAATTAATTTTTCTTTTGGGAATTTTTCTTTTTCAGGCAAACGTCGTTACAACATCAAATTGTGGAAGACATTCACAGATTGTTTCAATTGCTTACCGGTGGCGGCGATTGTTGATGAGAAAATTTTCTGCTGTCATGGAGGTTTAAGTCCCGATCTACAAAGTATGGAGCAAATAAGACGTATCATGAGACCAACTGATGTACCTGATCAGGGATTATTGTGTGATTTGCTTTGGTCCGATCCCGACAAGGACACTATGGGCTGGGGTGAGAACGATCGCGGTGTTTCATTTACATTCGGCGCCGAAGTTGTTGCCAAATTTCTTCATAAACATGATTTCGATCTCATATGTCGAGCTCATCAGGTAAATTATCTTTTTCGTAACTTTATCTAAAAAATTTCCCCTTTTTGAAAGAATAAACGAATTGAACGATTTCAATAAATAAAAATGATTTTCTTTGTTTGAACAGGTTGTTGAAGATGGTTATGAATTCTTTGCTAAACGACAATTGGTGACATTATTCTCCGCGCCAAATTATTGCGGTGAATTTGATAATGCAGGTGCCATGATGTCTGTTGATGAAACGCTAATGTGTAGCTTTCAAATATTAAAGCCAGCAGATAAGAGGAAGTTTACGTATGGAGGTTTAAATGCTGGACGACCGGTAACACCGCCACGAGGTCCAAACAATAAAAATAAAAAGAAGTGAAACCTCCTAGAATTGCTTCGAACGCGACATTTAGGATCTTAAGACCTCTTCCTACCCCCCCTACTACCCCCATTCGCCCCCTCATCCACTCAACATATTAAAGACTTGTCTTTAAAGTCTTTGTATGAGAAAAAAGAGTAATTATTACGGATACATCATAAACTATCTGCGGAGCCATCCACAAAAAAGCAATGATCACAACTATCTCACTTTGTAGAAGAGTTTCCGGAGGATCATTGTTTATCGAATGAATAAAATAAGGATGATCCAAAGAAAATAACTGTCCCTAGTAGGAAAGCGAGTAGGTGGCCTTCAGAAAAGTACAATGCAAAAAAGAAACCTATTTCAATAAAATCTGAGTGACTCCATTGTAGTAGTGTTATGTTTTATATCACAAAAAAATGCGGGTGTTTCTCAATCGCAAAGGTCGACGTCGAAAGCATTTTTCTCCAAAAAAAAACAAACAAAAAAATGGTACATTTTGAGTCTTTTTCTTTGAATTTATATAAATGTTATGAATAACGTGGTGAAATTGTTAATTTTATTAATTTTTTTTTTAAATCATTGTTACAAAAACTGAAAATCACCTACCCGGCTATTTTCTTCTAAGTAATCTTAGAATTTGTTTATTTACGCACAACAAAAAAAATGTGAGCATATTTTCAATTATTGGACAAATTTATGCAATGACCATTTAAAAAAAAAAAGAAAAGGGGTATATAAAAAATCTCGATCGACTCGCGAATTTACTGCCTAGAAAACTTATTTTACTGGACAATAAGAAAATAATCGACTTGAGATTATCTAGGACAGTCAAGTTTCTCCGGATACATCTTCTGAATCATTAAAAAAAAAAAAATTTAATCTACTTGAGGAAAAATTAAAAATTTGTATTCTTAATTTAAAAGAAAGGATATAGAAAATAAAATCGAATTTCTTCAGGAGATTTATCGTTAATGCGTCAAATATACAAGAAGTAATTATTAAAAATCCGTACCGAAAGAAATCTTATCGTAAATAGGGAAGGAGAAATAAATCTTAACGTCCATCGGAGACACTGTCGTCGTTTTTCCGTCCTCGAGAAATCACGAGTTAATAAAAAAGACTAAAAAAGAGTCATTTCTGATTTAAAAAAAAACTCGTTATTTACTCAGGACGAAAAATATAACGTCGCCAAGTGTTTAACAATTATTATCATCATCAACTATCATCCTGAAAGATCATTATCATTATCGGCTTCCACTTCGCAGGTTAAATTTACTGTTATCGTGACCAAGGTGAATTTTAATTTTTATTTATATGTATACATTTTTTTTTAATTATTTTTTTCAGTAATTCCTTATCCCTGATTCCCTATAATGCACACCTTATTCTTCCCCCCCATTAGCACCGAATTGTACCGAGAAAAGAAAAGAAAAATTTCACTCTACTGACACTATCGTGAAACGATACAGCAAATCCGCGAACTCCTCTCACGCACACATCATTGTACATTCATTTTTTTATGAATAATAAAGATCACCAAAAAAAAAAAGAAAAAAAAGAATATATGTTAAAAAAATCAGAAAATCAGTATCCTAGTTTCTTCTCTGCTCAAAGAAGAAAACAAAAAAAAAATAATAACTTTGATCGGTTTCATCTTTTTCCTAGCGTAGTTATTTTAGTAATAATAAAATAATATTAATAACTGTCTGAGTCTCAATTTCAAAAGATGAAAAAACAGGCGAAATTATTTCGAATTTTAGAAACGCATAGTATATAAATAAAATGACAGGAAACATAATTAGAAAAGACAACAATGAATATTCTGTGATTTTCAAAGAAAACTTCAAAACCGGCTGATAATGCTGTTAATTATTATTATTACTATTATTATCATTATATTATGATTTTCAAAATATTATAAACTCGGATAAAATGATAATATAAATTTGAATTAATTAAAAATGATTTCTGTTTTTTAATAATAATAATAATTTTTATTATAAATTTGAAAAACAACATGCGTTGTAGATGTATTTGAGAAAAAAAAAATTTTACTGCTTTGACGGGAAAAAATCTGCATGAAATTATATTTATAGAGGAAAAGATTGGACAAATATTTCATTATTGAAATTTACTTTTGAATATTTGTATAAGTTGGTTTTTCTAGATGATATTTTAGTTGTGACAAATATTTTTCTTCTTTGTTATACAATATTTTTTTCTCTTTTTGAGCACTCTTAAAGGTTCCTTTCTTTTTCTTTTTATGAAATTTACTATTTTTCTTGGAAGTAACATTTTTTGTTAATCTTCAGTTGTTTTCGAAGATATTACTTTAAAATAAACGTAATCGTTTTTAAAACGGTAGAGATGTAAATTTTTTGTAAAAATACACGTAAACGACAAAAAAAAAATGAATAAAATTGAGATGAGCTTTACTATTTATTTTTTTATGATTTATTTAGACTTATTTATTGTCATTGAAATTTTGCTTTAGGCAAAAAAGAAAAACAATTTTTTTTTAGTAAAATATTATGTTTCTATTATTATATAATTTTTTTATTATTTATTTCTTTTTATTTGATGAAACAAAAATTTTAATTTAAGTTACAAAAAAAAGTTTAAATTTCAAATTGGGAAGAAATTCGTCGAAATAATGTGGAAAATATAAATCTTCGTGTAAGAAAGAGAGAGAGAAGGAAATTAATTAAAGACAACATTGGGTAAAGTGACTTTCTCTAATTTGTTGGGAGGCTCTTATGAACGACAAGACTCCACCTTCTGTTGGCTTTGAAGCCAAAAAGTCTTTTTCAACTTCTAATGAACGAATATATGACGCTAAAGAGACAAAATTTTCTGTTTTCAAAAACATGTAAGTAATTATTTAGTACAAATATATTAAAAATTATAATTTATTTAACATTACGATTTCCCTGGATTTTTCAATTAATTTCAACGATTAAGAAAAATATCTAACTTTTAATGTAGACATCCTGTGAAGATTAATTTAAAATATGAAAATAAAATTTTAAAAAACATGTTTATTTTCCTATTTTGTAATTTATAAAGTGTTCATGTGAAATTTATTTTCAGGTGGATAAAATTTACTTAAAAGTTAACATTTAATTGCTAATAAATTAATAAATAAACAATATAAATTTGTTAAGTTACCTATATTTAAAATGTTGAAATTTATGGTCTGAATTCGATTTATGTTCTTTAGAAAACAGAAATCTTCACTCAACAGTCGCAAAAAAGGTCCAATTATAATTTTCAAGATGTGTCCGTGCTTCAAGACAATAATAAGTTATTCTGTTAATTATTCCAAGAAATATCAGGTGCTGAAAAGAAGATTTCAAACATTAAACATTATTATTCAACAAAATTTATATCAGATTCAGTGAATTGAATTTTTTTTGTCAATTGCAGGATACAAGAGGTAAGACTTTTTTCTATTTAATAAAAAGAATTCTTTGACTTTTTAATAATTTGATTCTTTAGAATAATATAAATCTTTTTAACTAAATTAAAAAGAATTTTTTAAGTGAATTGAATATTGACAACAAACTAAATTTTTAAAATTATTGTTTTAAAAATTCAGTGGAATATTTATTTAATAATAGAATTTCCATACCACAGAATATTTATTAAACATAACTTTTGGACTTTTTATTTTCATGAAAAATATAATTATAATTACATTAATATAATTTTTATTCAACTTAAATTTTATTTCACTAAAACTTCTATTTGGCTAAATTTGAGTTATTAACTATAATTTTTATTATTCCAACTTTTTGTCAGAAAAAATTTTTATACTCATTTTTTTAGCAGAAGTTTCACTTAGGGATTAAATAAGAATTCCAATAAATAAAAATTCGACAAAAACTAAAATTCTGTTAAATTTTTACTAAATAAAAATTTGGTTAAATGAAAATTCTGTGCTAAATTAAAATTGGATTGAAATAAAATTGAGTTAAATTTTCAACCATTAGTAAAAAAAAAAAAAAATTAGTTAATTGAAAATTCTCTACAAATTTAAAATCCTGCTAATTTTAAATCCAATTGAATTTTTAACAAAAAATCTATAAATATAAATTTGACAAAATGAAAATTTTGCTATAAATTAAAATTGGAATGAAATAAAACCCCCAGTTAAATTTTTATTAAATTAAAATTTGGATAAATGAAAATTCTACTAAATTAAAATTAAGCCAAAATAAAATCGAGTTAAATTTTTAACAAAAAATAAAAACATCTAATTATAAATTTGACTAAATGGTAATTTTGCTAAATTAAAAATTTAATGAAATAAAATCCAGTTAAATTTTTAAATAAAAATAAAAAAATGTAAATAATAATTCGGTTAAATGAAAATTCTGCTTAATTAAAATTTGACAGAAATGAAATCGAGTTAAATGTTTAATTAACAATAAAAAAACTAAATAAAAATTCTGCAAAATTAATATTTTGTTAATTAAAAATACATTTTAGTTTCGAATTTGGCTAATTGAAGGTTTTTTGGTTTAAAAAAGGTAATTGCCTAGGAAATACAATTTTTTATTTTACTTTATAAATTTCGGTTGAAGGTAAATTTTACTAAAGAAAAATTTGGTTCAATAAAAATTCGGTTTAATCAAAAATTGGTGTACGTAGAAATTCTGTTAAATAAAAATTCTTTTCATTGTGTAAAAAATTTTTGGCCAAAATTCTGATTAAATTAAAAATTAATTTCAATTCTATTAACATGAAAATAATTTCCTAGAAATTAAATATTGAGCGAAATAAAAATCCCACTGAATTTTTCTATTCTGTGGGATTTTTATTTCGCTATTGAATAATTTTTGTTTTTTTTTTGTTCAGAGAAGTTTTCGTTGGAAAATATTTTTCTTTAAAACACTTTAACCAGAAATGATTTTTAGAAGAATATTCCCGTCTACAAATATCAATATTGTCTAAAATTATTCCACTAAACATTCGCGTAACTTTTAAGTTTTAAACTATAAAATTTTTTTTTTTATTTTTCATTTCAAGAAACTGTTTCCTGGTACAATGCACGAATAAATAAAATAAATTGACTCAATTGGGAAAATTTACACCACGAATGGCTCCGCCTTTGATGCCAGCCAAGAAAAGAGATATTTGCGTCCGATTTTTGGTCCATCCAGAATCCAGATTTGAGTGTGGGTGTCAAACTGTAGGAGGTTCTCACTGAAACTCCTCCTTCGCATCTCCACTATCTAAATTCACCGCCACTGATGATGAGGAAGAAGAAGAAGAAGAACTCATGTAATCTCGACCGGCAAGAAGGAAAGAGGAAAGAAATAATTTTTTCCCCTCTCTCCAAAAAAAAGAGAAGAATAAGGACAAAATTAAAGTGTAAAGAGAAAGGGGAAGATTTGAGGAAGAATGGAGAAAAAGGAAGAAGAGACTATTTAGTGATGAATGAGAAGGAGGACTTACAAGAGGGACAAAAATGTTTTGAGGAAGAGAGAGAGAGAGAATGAGAGAGAATGATGGACCGATGATAAGATCTGGCAGTCTCTCGTGTGAAGCACGTCCGTTCTGTGCGCTTTCTTCTTTACCTTTTCGTTGGACTCCACTTCTCTTTACTCTCCGATTATACACTTCGAAACCCTGTCAGCATCCCAACATTGAGGTGAGGACGGCTCCTGTTATCGAATCACACGACCTCGACGATGTCCAGAATCATCAGATATTCGGTCAAGATCACAGGCTCCCTAAGTGGATATTATCCTAATTTCACCATGTGACTTTAAATTTTAGTCAAAAATTTATTATTTTCTCTTTTTTCGCTGAGAATGTAAAATTTCATTTTTCCAAAAATTCTACAATTTTTTTCCCATTCAATTCGAATTTAATATTAAAGACCAAAAATTTGCCAGTCGAAATCGAAAAGAAGAATAATTTCACTATTTTTGATATAAAAATATCTGAAATTAATTTTTGCAAAAATCAAAATTGGATCATTTTCGAAAAAATCAAATTCTTTGATTTTGTGAATGAGAAATTAAATATTTTCTCCCAGAAATCGTAATTTGTGATTTGGAAAAACTGAACTAAAATTCGTTCCAGTTTCTACTGGAATAATAAAATTGTCAATTTGTGGTAAAAATTTTTTAATTGTAAATGAATCGAATGAAACAAGTTTCAACGACAATTGTGTGGAAGTAAAAATGTTTAGTGCTTCTTTCTGAAAGGAATAATCAAAATATTTTTCGTCATGTGGTAATTATTAAGTGTTGAGAACAACAAAGTGATATTGTTTTTGCGTATTCAATGAATTTATAGAAAATTTCGAGTGACAAGAAGAAAAAAAAATTTCTCATGATTCATCAAAAGGCAGATGGTACGACATGTGCCATTGACAATCGATTTTTTGTAAATAATCTTCATTCTCGGGAATTGACAATTGACAGAATGCAACAGCAAGATCAACGAAATGAGGTGACAGTCGATTGCTGTTATCAGCAATGGAGCACACATCATCATCAACACCACCATCATCATCATCAGCAGCTGCCGCCGCCGGTTCCTTCACCAATGCAACAGATGGAAGGTAACACTATAATATTCGAAATTATCGTCTTTTTTTCAAATTTTTAAAAAGAGCACTTTCTTTCGAAATTTATTTTCTATTTTTAGATATTATTGAGTCGTATAATTTAATTTATATTTTAATTTTTTTATTTTATTTATTTACTGCGGCATTGATTGTCCTATTTGAAAAAATTCTGTATTCGGTTTTTTGGTAATTTTTAATGATCCACAAGTTTTGAAAGTTCAAATAAACACGAAATATTTTTGTTTGAAAATATTTTCATGAATTACTAATTTCTCAAAAAAATTGAAAACCAAAATTAATTTAGAAACTTAAAATTAATTAAGTTAAAATTTAGAAACTTTATAATTAATTTTTTTGAAACGTGAGGCAAAATTTTGTAACAGAATTTTAATTTTAAAGAAGAAATAAATAAATCTCGTTCATTTGATTGTTTAGAATTTTAGGAACATCAATTTTATTATAATTTTCGATATAAAAAAATACACTAAGATTGACCGAAAAACCTTTTAAATTACTCGAAATAAAAAACTGAACGGTCATTAATGTGTCAAAGATAAATTTTATATTTAATTTAGAAGAAAAAGAGGAAAACCAAATAAATGTTTAACAATTTTGTTTCTTTAAATCTTTGAATGTTCAAATGAACCAATTTTTTTCTGTTTAAAGTTTAAACATTTTCAAAAATTATTTGACTATACGGAAATGGCAAATAATGTAAATTAAATAATATTTGCTTGTAAGTTAAACATCAAATTTTTCTAACAAAGAGAATATTTTGTAGTAAAATTTAAATTAAAGGTAGTAAAAAAAATATCGTCATTCATTGAATTGTTCTAAATTTTTTTGAAATATGTAAAATAAATTACAATCATCAAGATATTTTTTAAGAAATTTTCTTCAGTTTTTCTCTATTCTCTAATTATCCAAAAATTATAATCAATAAAAAAATAATATTAACACTAATAGTAATTTATTGTTATTAATTAATAATTATTATATTTAATGACCGAAAATAATTCATATTTATAATAATTAAATTATTAATAAAGAAATAATTTGAAATAAATTTATTTAAAAATAAATTAGAAAGTTAGGAGTTGCTTTTAAACTATAAAAATATAATTTTATAATTATGATTGCGAAACTGGATATCAAAAATTGTATTCATTAAAAAATAGAATCCTGTAAAGTTCTGAACGTTCAAATAAATGAAATTTATTTTTTTTTCAAATTCAAATTTTATTGTAGTAATTTTGCATCATTTTCTTTTTTTAAATTATTGATCACGAATGTATGTGAAACAGTTTGGAACAAACATTTATAAAGATATTAACAGAAAAAATATTTTTTCTTCTAAATTGTTGATTATAAACGTTGTGAACTTCATCAACGTGTATAGAGAAACAATTTTACAAATTTTATTCGTTTTACTCTTTTTTTAAGAAATTTCAATATAAAATTCAAATATAAATTAAAAAATGAAGTAAACCGCATAGAAATCTATTATTATTTCTTTTTAAGGAAACAATAAATTATTAAATTTGTTCCTTATTATTATAAAGGTATTAAAGTAATAAATGTTCGTTCACAAATTTTCCCAATGTTTTGAACGTTCAAGTGAACAAAATCTTGTTTTCGTTTAAATATTTTCAAAAATTAAATAATAAATAAATAAAAATAAATTAAATACATTTACGTCATTAAGACTTTTTTTAAATAAAAAAATATTTCCTAATAAAACTCAAATTCGAGCAAAGTGTCAAAAGTGAAAACAATGATTGTTCATTTGAAAGATTCAAAAAATTTTGGACCATCGCAATGAAGTAATAAAAGTACACAAACGACGTTTTGAGAAAAATTCTTGGCTATCAAAAAGTAGAAATTTAGGCGCCCCGAAATTTAACATATTCCATTTTATTTTATTTTTTTGTTTTAAAGAATATTTTGAAAAATTCAAGACAGTAAATTTTATAAACAGCTTTAGCAAATCGGTGAAGAGTAAATATTTGAAATTTATTTTGAAGATCATAAACATCCTGAAGACATTAGTGGTTCACGACCCTCGAAAGTTTTTTTGAACCACTCTGTCATTACCTCTCTTGAAACGCGGTGTGAAAGCAACAGAGGAACACTTGAGGAAAATATATATTATATACATATATATAAATAATGTTTTATGATTTTTCATTTCGCGTCTTTTTCTAATAAGAAGAAAAGAAATGTTATCACATATTTGAATGTTACGAAATAAAAATTCGTTTCTGAATTTTCTTTTTATGGTGATTGTTAGAAGTAAAAGCCAATTTTAAACATCGTTTAAATGACTCTTCTTTTAGCCGACCGAATTTCGTTTGTTCCCTCTTATTGCACTTTAAACAGTTTCATTGCATTCTAACATTCTCCACCAGCTATATACATTGGTTGCAACGATGCATTGCAACGCAAATTCTTCACTCCAAAACCATTCCCCAATAGATTTCGATCTTTAATTTGTTGATTTTTATTACAACGTACAATGACCTGTGCCAATAAATTTTGTACTTTCATTTTCAAAGAGAGAAAAAAAGAGAGCAAAATAGACTTTTATATAAGAGAATTGCATTTTATTGTTACTGGTATTTAGTACTTAAAAATATTAAATCGTTAAAATAAATACAAATCAGGGTTGCCACAAATATTTAATTTTGTTTTTCCCTGATTTCCAGACAAAATTTTCACTTTTTCCCCGACCCTGAAGAATATTCTGATTAAAAATTTTTTTAAAGAATTAAATTCCTATGAAAAAATTTATTTGTGAAAATAATTGAATTCTGAAGAAAAATATTATTATTTATGAAAATAATTAATTTCTTCTGAAGAATTTTATTCAAATTTTTGAAAATAATTGAATTTTTCAGAATTTCTTAAAACTTTTTGAAAATAATTAAATTTTATCGAGAAATTTCATTAAAAAATTAAAAATAATTGAAATCTGACGAAGAATTAAAAAAATTTTTTTTTAATAATTGAATTGCTTTCAAAATGTTTATTTTTGAAAAGAATTGAATTCTTGGGAAGAATTATATTAAAGTTTCTTAAATAATTGATTTGCTTGGAAGAATTTTATTTTTTACGAAAATAATTGAATTGTTTCGAAGATTTTTACAAACATTTTTGACAATAATTGTATTCCTAGGAAGAATGTTATATCTTACGAAAATAATTGTATTCCATGATCAATTTTATTATAATTTTTCAAATTTATATAAAGAATTTTATCAAAATTTTTTTAAATAATTGAATTCTCGAGAAAAATTTTGTTATTTATAAAAATAATTGATTTCTTGCGAAGAACTTTATTTCAATTTTTTTAAATAATTAAATTCTTAAGAAAAATTGTATTAAAAATAATTGAATTATATAGGAAAATTTTATTAAAATTGCAATTTTATTAACTAAATCTTGTAAAGAATTTTGTCAACATTTTTTTAAATAATAGAATTTTTAAAAGAATTTTATTTAAATTTTTCGAAATAATTGAATTTCTCAGAACTTTTTTTTTAATTCTCTGAATATATTTGAATTATTTTGAGAAACTTCTGTGGAAAATTAAAAATAATTGAATTGGTTCGAAGAAATTTATAGAAAATTGGTAAGTAATTGAATTCCTGTGAAACTGTTATTAAAATTTTGAATTTATAAAGATAATTGAAATTTTGACGAGAATTTTTTTTAATTTTTGAACATGATTGAATTTATGCGACGAAGTTTATCATTTTTGAAAATAATTAAATTTCTGGAATCAAATTAAGTTTGAAATTTTCAAGTAAAATTATTCATTAAATAATTCATAAATAATAATTTTATGATAGTTCTTCAAGAATTAAGTTATTTAATATTTAATTAAGTTATTTAAAAAGAAATTATTGTCATAGAAATAGAAAAAATTGAAGGTTTTGTTCTTCAATTCTGGACAATTTCATAATTTATGAGGCAAACAAAAAAGACTCCAAAATTCAGAATTTTGTTATAAATTCTAAAAATTTAATTTTTGCCAGTACTTTTAATAAAAATCCCTTACTTTTCCCTGATTTCCCTGACCTGTGGCAACCCTGCAAATAATAATTAAAAAATATTTCCTATTGAGGAAAAGAATTTTTGTAACTGTAGGAAAAATAGTGTGGATATTTGTGAAAACTTTTTTTGTCGCCGTCGCTTAATTTTATAATTTAAGAAATTTCAAACTTTGTGTTTAACTGAAAGTTTATTTATGTTTGGAGTTCACAAAAAAAAATATTGAAAGAAATTTCATCAAAAATTTTAGCTAATTTTTTATATATTCGAATTTTTATTTAACTTTATTTCGAGAAACTTTTTTGATTTTAGAATTTTCATTTGTATATTCAAATTTCTATTCAAGAAAATTTCTTTAAATTTTTCTAATATTCGAATATAAAATATAGAAAAATATTTGTTTTCAGTTTATTTTTGTTTATTATTAAAATTTTAATTTATTTTTTAATTTTATTCTTTTCGAGGGGAAAAATAAAATAATAATAAATAATAACCGAATAGATAATAATAAAAAATTTGAGATTTAAATTTGTTTGGATAAATTTGTTTTCCAGCTTGCCTTGAAACAGCAGGTCGCGTGAAACGCTCACGAAGTCCAAATTTACTAACAAGTGCTTCACTTTCGCCTCAAGTGTCTTCGGCAATATCTTCATCGCCCTCGGAATCATTGAATGACAATAATAATAATCATAATGAAGACACGAGCCCTTCATCTGCCGAAGGTATTAATTCAAAGAGGCCACTTCATCCGGCTTTAATTGGAGCTGGTGCTGTTTTAGAAGCGAGACCATTGTGGGAAGAATTTCATCAGCTTGGAACTGAAATGATTGTGACGAAAGCTGGTAGAAGAATGTTTCCCACTTTTCAGGTAAATACTCCATTATTTTCTTTTTGCTATTTGCTTCTTTCTTCAGTTTACAATATTTTCGATTAATCAATATTTTTCCATATTCCTGAGATTCTTGAATGTTGTCTGAAAATCCTGACTCTGAAAGAGAATTTTTTGAAATTTTATCAATTTTATTAATATGAAATTATATAAGATTTATTGACAAATGTTAATTTTTAAAAAAATAAAAAATAAAACTAAATACCAAATAACTATTGTAATTAAAATAAAATTCTGTTAAAATAGTTACTGAATTCAAAATTTTCTCTCACTGAATAAATTGAAACTGAAATAAATAAAAAAAAAAATTGAAAATTCTGTTACAGTGTCGTTTCTTTGGTTTGGATCCGAATGCAGAGTACTTATTGGTGATGGATTTTGTGCCCTGTGACGATAAAAGGTACAGGTACGCCTTTCACAGTAGTGCTTGGGTTGTGGCTGGTAGAGCGGATCCAGTTTCGCCCCCGCGAATTCACGTTCATCCCGATAGTCCAGCGAGTGGTGCTCATTGGATGAAGCAGCCAGTTTCATTCGACAAACTCAAACTCACAAACAATCAACTTGACGATAATGGCCACGTGAGTATTCAATTCTTCAAAAAGAAGAAAAAAATTTCACGTTTTTTCCTCTTTATCTTCTTTTTTCTTCTTCTGACGAAATAGCAGCAAAATATCGCAATATTACTGCCTCAATATTGCTTTGCACTGAAACAGAAAATTTGACTCAATAAATTCAAATTATTTCAACAATATTTTATTTTTTTATATTATTTTGTAATTATTATTTACTATTTAATGTTATTATTAATATACATCATTAAAAAAATGCAATGAATATTTTTTGAAACGAAAATTGCGAGAGTAAGAAAATGAATTTTGTGGATATTTGAATTGGAGAATTAAAATAATTAATCAGAGATTCACTCTCTTGAGAAATTAATGACTTCATTTTTTTTATAAAACTTTTTTTTCTCTATAATATATATATTTATTTATGTATATAAAGTTCGCCAAACTCGAGTCCATTACTTGTACTTATAATTTCTGGTGTAAGACACTTTCAATAAACTAGACTGATTGACGACAGTGGCATTGGTCCACGTGTTTGTCGTTTCGAACGGGTTCCCTTAATTGATCTGAGATACGAGCACTTTGCGTATAATATGCCAAAAATTATCGTATATAATAAAAGGGTGCGAAAAACATAAATTTACCGTCGTATCAAAATTTTATTTTCAAATTTCATTCTCAATTTTTTAATTTAATAATTTTTTTCTCTAATTTAATTTTTCTGTATATTTTTAATTAGATCCCTTATTTATAAATGAAATTTTTTTTTTCAAACTGAATTTAGAAAACTAAGCCGAAAAGAAGAAATAAAATTTTTCGTACATTTTTATAAATAATAAAATAATAAAAATTGGAAATTTTTATTTTACATGAAAAATATTTTGTTTTCAATCCTTGATCATAAACGTCGTGAAGTTCACTGACGTAAAATTTTATTTGCGTCAAATAAAATTTTATGTGTCCTGCGAATAATATTTTCATTCGATAATAATAATTTATCTTACAGACAAATAATATATTTTTATTTAATTCAAATAAACAAATACAAATATATTTTTGTTTAATTCAAATATTTATTTATTTTCCAATAAAATGTTTAATTTTCCCTATTGGATGATAAATTAAAAAAAAAAATTATTAAAACGATATTCTTTTTCATAAAAAAAGAAAAAGGTGCGATTAAAAATAAATTAACAAAAATAGAAAAAATAAGAAATTTCTTAGTAGAAGAAAATGAAAAATATTCTAAAAAATATTTATTGATAGTAAAATTGTCTAAAACTGTTTGCTTGGGCTTCTAAAATATTGCCATCGCAACATAATGAATACGAAAACGAATTTTTTTTTACAATTTCAACAGAAAAAAACAAAGAAGGGAAATAAATCGATTTTTTTAAAACTCTACAACCGAAGAACGTGTGTCACAATTTGTTTATTTCTCTTGATTTATTATTCAAGAGGACAGTATGTTGTCTTCGGCAAATTTGTGTACACATTTCGCGATTTAGCAAACATCTGGAATTGCATCTAATACACATTTCCTCGCAGTAAATTTTTAAATATTCAGTATAAAGATTTATCGTTAACTGGAGAAGATATAACGATTAATGTGAGAAATAACTCTATTTAGAGTCCAATGAGAAGAAAATCAACGAAAGAATAAAAAATGATTTTTTCTCTCCCCGAAAAAAGGGCAAAAATTTCAATAGCAAGAGGGACAGTTGTAGATCCCTTAAAATGACGGATATATCTATATTATAGACTCCATAAGGAGGAAGAAACACGACGGGACTAATGTTTGACAGACTGAAGAGATCCAGTGACTAATTAGCGTAAAAACTAACCCCCTCGTCCTAATCTCATACATATATATTCCAATACTTATTTGCAGACACAAAATATTCAAGCACGTGTGGTCTTTTCGTGTGTACACATATATATAAAATTGTGTTTCGAAAAAATGGAGGAGAAAAAGTTATAATGTACTTCAGGCTCATCCTCGAATGCGATTTTTTTTTTTGGTAATTAGTAGGAAAAAAGTGTCAAATGACAGGAATTTTTTTCTATTCGTTGATTTTCAAATTTTTCTTTTAAAAGAATTTTTATTCAGGATTGTAACAAATATTTAATTTTGTTTTTCCCTGACTTTTCCAGACTTTTTTCTTACTGATTTTGACTTTTTCCCTGACCCTAAAGAATAATCTGATTCACTCTAAAAATTATTAGATGAAAAATAAATTAATAAATAAAATTTCTAAAAAAGGATAATACGACTGTATAAACATTCAATTAAAAGAAAATTCCGTAACAAGAAAATTTGGCTAAACGAAAATTATTTTGTTTGTAATAAATAATTTGTTTATATTTTAAAACATAAGGCTAAAATAAAAATTCGAGTAGAAAAATATTTTTAATTCTGAATTTTGCTTTCTGAAAATTGTCTGTAATAAAAATTCGTTTCAATAATTAAATTAAAATAAATTAAATTATTCTATTTAAATTACTTTCAGCGTAATTGAAATTTTAATTAATTATTAATTTTCCTTAATTCTCATTCATTCATTAAATTATTTCATTCATTTTTAAAGAAATAAAAATTCAGGTGAAATAGTAAAAAATGTAGGAAAATGAAAATTTTTTTCTAAATAGAACACATCTGTGTCAGTGGGTTACAGTTTTTTCTCGTTGGATTTTTTTTTCTTTTTTTTTTTGCCATGTATAATATATTCAAAGGAGAGTTATTCTGTCTGTGTGTGGCCCTTAAGGAAAAGTCAAATTCTTCGCTACGCTTTTTGACTTTTTCTAACTAGTTCCCCTTTTTTTAAAAAGTTCCCTCTTCTTCCAAGTTTGTCAAGAGGCCGACAAATTTGGAAACTCTACGCGATACAAAGTGTCAATTAAGCTACACTGCAAGCGCCACAAACAGAAATTCCTGTTACGCCTAACTTTTTTGCATATTTGCAAGAGAAAGGCAAGGCCAAGGGCAATTGGCAATTTTTTTTCCTCTGACATTGAAAATCCCTTTTATTCAGATTTAATTTTTTTTTCTACTTTTTGCTCCAAAACAATTTCATTCTGAAATAAATTTACAAAAAAAATTCAACACACAGTTCTTTCAATTCCTTTTCAAAATTTTAAGGTGGAAATTGATTAAAATAAAAATTTGAATTGATTGAATAATTTAATTTGAATAGAATTGAATTTTGAACTAATTTAATAATTCAACTATAATTCGATTGTAAATTAACTTAATAATTTAATTTGATTCAAAGTATTTTTTTTTAATTCAATATTTGATTAAAAGTACGTTATGAATTAATTTCAAAGTTTAATTTGTTTCAAAATTAAATTTTGAATTAATTTAATAATTTATCTATACGTGCAAAATAAATTTTGAAAATTCAAAAATATTTATAAAAAAATATTGATGAAAATAAATTCGAAATGGATTTTTTAAAAATGAGAGAAATTTTTTATTTAGTAAAAAATTGAATTTGAAATTATATTTTTACGAGTCAAGGTGGTCCCTTTTTGGGGTGTGAAAAAAAGTGTGTGCCCTTATGTTGTTTATACACAATTCTCAATTTGTCCTTTCTTTCAGTCATGTAAAACGCAGATGTTGAGAATTTCAGGGAACGAAATTTTGCAGGAAATAAAATTTATGGTTCCGTTTTAGAATCCGCGAAAGGATCCCTCAATCTTCTCTTGCTTTTTGTGTCACACTATACAGAAACGACGAATGGCTTTTAAGCATCGCTGAATCGTAAATCGTCAATCTAGTCTTAACATGTCTTCGACTTCTCAGAGAATTAGAAAAATTGTAAATGAACCTGTGAAAAAAAAATTTCCCAGGGAATTGCATATTTAGAAAAAAAAATTAGCGCAAAAGTAAATTCGAATTTATTTATCAAACTAAATATTATTTAACTCTGAGATAAATATTAAATTCTACTAATATTACTCTTCATTATTTTTTGGTTTTTAAAATTACTTTACGCAGAATTAAAAAATTCGGAATCAAATTTTACGATAGAAAAAAATTTGCTATTGAATAAAAAATGCAAATCTTTGCAAAATTAAAATAATTACCTAATAATGAATTGAACCAAAAAAGGAGACGAAAAATTAAAAGTAGTATAAAAATTGTAGTATAGAAAATGAATTTTAAAAAATGCAAATAAAATAAACAAAATATGAAAAATTAAAATAAATAAAAGTTGAATATAATAAATAAAACAAGTTAAATGAAAAAAAAATGTTTTTCATTATAAATTAACAGTTCATGCGCTTCTCGGCTTTGAACGAAAATCAACATAAAATATAAAAGTAAAATTAAAATAAAAAAAAGAAATTTTATCCCAGAGCTAAAATTGTATTTACATAAATTTTCCCATGGTAAAAGTTTTTTCCTTTTGAATTTGCTTTTATAAGTGTAGAGGAGAATTTTATATGAAATTCCAAGCACTCCAGACTCTTCATCAAAGTTAGTTTACATTATTTTACCAACCGATACAAACAAGCAAAGTGAGTGCTTGAGAAAAAACATGAATTGTCCTGAGAAAGCTTTTGGTTGAATTTTATTTTTTCCCTCGATTTACGTTTTATTATTAAAACCATTAATATTAAAAAAAAAAAAACTAAAAAGGGAACATGCTTTTTTAAAATTTACTTTCCTAATAGATCAATTTTTCCCACTCAATTAAATTATTGAAATTCTTCATTAAATTATTGAAAAATAATTTCAATTATCTAAACGAAAGATAAATTTAGAAAAGTTTTCTTAGCTTCTTCTTGTATTCAAATTTTTATTTAACTAAATTTCAATTTCGAAAATTTTTATCTTTTCAAAATTTATTGCTTTTTGAATTTTTTATTTAAACAAATATTCAATAAGGAGAATTTTTCTTAAGTCAAATTAAATTAATAATGAAATTATAATGAAATTTTCTAGTTAGTAATAAAACTTTGACTAGATTAATTAATTCGAATTCTACTTGTTATTATAATTTTGTTTTTTAAAATCAAAACATTATTTATAAAAATAAATTAAATTGTAATTTTTTTTAATTTTTCAAAAATGAAAAAATCATAAATAGCATGATTGAAATACCTATTAATATTTTGTCCATCTTTTTTTCTTTCCAGATAATTTTAAATTCAATGCATCGTTATCAGCCACGATGTCACGTTGTTGTCGCACCATCGCCACCTGGTTCGAGTCCCGATCCAAGAACGGAAAATTTCAAAACTTTCTCATTTCTCGAGACAAGATTCACTGCAGTCACAGCCTATCAGAATCATCGAATTACCCAATTGAAAATTGCGAGTAATCCATTTGCAAAAGGTTTTCGTGATTGCGAACCAGATGAATGCGATTCACCGACATCGAGTACACCACAAAATCCAGCAAAGAGACCGGCCACTGGCAATAATGGTGTATTGGGAAGTACATATCCGGGAAGTGTACCTCTAATGTCGACCATGTCGAGTCAAGAACAACATCATCAATTCTATGGAACAACAGCGGGACACTGGACCTATTCGAATCATCATCAAGCAAATCATTCTGTCAATCCATCTCATTATTCCGTTCATCCTCATCATCCCCATTCGGCGCATGCATCATCATTGTACGGTCCAAGGTAGCCCTGAAAAAAATTTAATTTTTATGAATGATGAAACGAAAATCAAATTCAAAATATTCTAATTCTAAAATTCGATTTACAAGTAATTATTAATTAAAAAATTTCTACGAAAAAATAATGGGAAATTTGCAAATGATTCTATTTGGTTATGATAAAAATTTTAATTGACATAAATTTCTATAAGGTTTTTCTTTAAATTGTAAATATTTATTTTAACGAAATTCCCATCTTACTAAAAATTTATTTTCAGCAGAATTTCCATTTAGCCAAATTGCCTTGTATTTTAATTTATATTCAATCTAAATTCAGCAGAATTTTCATTTAGTCAAAATGGCTTGTATTTTAATTTTTATTCAGACAAAATTCAGCAGAATTTTCATTTATCAATATTTTTTCACTAAAAATATTGGAAATATTAAAAAAAAATTGTAATAATTTGAAGATTGGCTTAATTTTTGGTAAAATAAAAATTAGTACGAAATTTCTTTCTTTAAATATATATTTTGCTGCAAGAAATTTTCAGTTGGAGAAAATTTGGGTGAAAAAATTTTGCAAAATGGAAATTTTCTTTAAAAAAAATTTTGTTCATTCGTTTGCACAGATCTCTGTCAAATATAAATTTGTTTTCAAATTAAAATAAAGTGAAATTAAAATTTCTCATTTATAACAAAAAATCGCTGTTTAAAATAAATTTCGGTGAATAAAACCAAAAAATCAAATTGAACGGAGAAAGAATTATTTTTTGACATAATTATAAATTATAAATAAAATTAAAACTTCTAAACTAAAGAAAGAAAATTGAAATATCATTATATAAATTTTGAAAAACAATTTTTCAGTCTAATTTTTAATTTAATTAATTTATTCTAATTTTTGTAGCTTTTCTTACAAAAAATTTATTTTCTAATTGCGATAATAATATTTTTTTCTTTGTGACACATTTTTATTTATTTATTATTTTTTTTTTTAAATAATACAAAGAAATATATATGTATGTATTTATCAGGTGACTTGGACTGTGAATAAATGACGCAAGCGAATTTAAAATTGTGCAAGAGTTTACACACATAAAATGTGGTGCAAAATTAACGATGCCAAAGTTTTGAGCCAAGATACTTCATCTCTAGAACTAGAATAATTATGAAAAACAAATATCAAAAGATGTCAAGAATTATTATTGAGAATTTTTCACTCCGACGATATCTATATTTTTGTGCGTGTTATGCAATGGAAAAAAATTTCGACGAGAAAAATCAAAAAGACCAAAGTATATTTTGCCAAATGAATGAATCTAAAATTTTAATTGACACAGTTAAACATGGATTTTTAAATAACGTATTTTATAAAAAAAAAACTATCAGGGGAAATAGACTGAATGTACGTTTTAAATGTCACTTAATGATTTTAATAATATTAATAATTCTCTCATCAATTTTATTAGGAAAAAAAAAATTGTCAATTCATATTATTAATTAAAAAAATTATTTTTAAAAAATAAAAAAAGTATTAATTATTAATTATTAATTAATAAAATAAAAAATGCATAAACAGAGTAATAAATTAAAAATACTATTATTAATGGATTTTTATTTTTTGTTCTTTTTAAGAGCAAAAAATAAAAACAATTTCTAACTTTGTTTAACTTTTCGAAAGCAAAAACTAAAAATGCAAACAAAATTGTTTTTTTTTAAGTATTTTGTTGAATTAAAAAATTAACTAAAAAACTCTTCAATAAAATTTGTTAATTAAAGTTTAATAAAACAGAGAATTAAAAATAATTTTATTAAACGAATAGTCGACAAAATGACTTAAAAAATAAATTTAAAATAGTGAAAATAAACATAAATTAAGCAAAATAAACATAAATGAAAAATAGCAAATTAAACATAAATCACTTATAAAATATAATTAAAATAGTGAAAAATTGAAATAAAAATAAATGGAAAATAGCAAAATAAATAAAAAAGGAGAAACAAAAGAAAAGAATGAAATATATTTTGAAAGTTAATAAAATTTGTTAATTACTGTAATTTGATTAGACTAAAAATTGTCTTATATATACAAAGTATTTAAACACGTGGGATTGCAATAGTGAAAAAATAAAATAGACTCTAAATATCGGACTTGACCCGCAAGGACCAGTCTCATCGATTTCGTGGTTGCCCCAACGGGTATAACAAAGTGCCTTTTGTAGGAGCAAAGTGCGTCTATTTATGTTGGGTGTCTCAAATGCCAAACGAGCCTAAACGCACTCGAGAGCCAAGATGTGGACGCAAACGTACCGTGACAAACCCCGTAGTCTAAGTGCTTTAATAAATTATACCGTAGAGTGCCACGCTATTATGCATTATAAATCAGTAATGAGTAGAAACAGGAATCAAATTCCCGCATTGGCTGATTTTCAGCTCGTTATACTCTAAGCATTCAATTTTTCAAAAAACTTTACCACATATCATCCCTTCGTTCAAAAAAAAAATAAATAAATAAAAAAAAAACTTGTCAACCAAACGAGACTAAAAAATATAATTACTTCTTTAATTGGCTAATTAATTTTCGCCTTCAATTAATTCACTGACTGGTTAATTAATTGTCTGATTAACAAATTCATTATCTGAATTATTAATTGTCATATTTACTAATTAATTATTTGAATTATTGACTAATTAATTATCTGAATTATTAAATAATTAATTATCAGAATTATTGACTAATTAATTATCTGAATTATTAAATAATTAATTATTTGAATTATTGACTAATTAATTATCTGAATTATTAACTAATTAATTACCTGAATCATTAGATAATTATTTATCTAACTAATTAGCCAATAAATAACTCACCTAATTGGCCAATTAGCAATTTTTTAAATTGGCTACTTAATAATTTTGTAAATTGGCTAATTAATAATTTTGCAAATTAGCTAATTAACTGTATAACTAATTAATTATTTAAATCATTCGCTAATTACTTATGTAACCAATTGGACAGTTAATTATTTGAATAAGTAGCTGACTAATTATGTGCCTCATTGACTAATTACATGAGTACATAAATAATAAGATAATTAATTACGCAAGTAATTTACTACTTAATTATTTAAATAATTAGGTAATTACTTAAGTGACTATGAACTAATTAATTAATATAAATAATAATAATATAATTAATTATGTAACTCGTTTGTTAATTATCTAAATAATTATTCAATTAATTATGTAAATGTTTAGCTAATTTATTCAAATAATTAGCCAATTAATACGATACATTTTATTTCAATCATTGTGTGTTTAAATAAATTTTTGAATTTTTAATATATAATTAATATGAAAATATGTAAGTTTTAAATTAATTATGATAATTTTATTATACGTAAGAATTCCTTTTTTGTATCTAATTTATTATTAATCGTATAATTTTAAGAAATGCAATAGATTTTATTTGTAAGTTCTATAAAGTATTATTAAATTCATTAAGTACTATTTAAAAAACATTTTTTATGAGATTTTTAGTAATTTAAGTTTTGAATAAATTCGTTTTAACAATAATTTAAGAGAAAAAATAATAAATATATAAATTATAATTGAAAAACAAGTTTTTCGAAATTATAATATAAGAGAAAAAATCGACGATGGAAAAAATTATTTATGAAAAATTGTAATTTAAATAAAAATTTACAATTAATATTGCGTTGTATATTGTAAATTTTAAATTATATATAATATAATTATTAATTACTACAATATACTTTATATTCTATTTATACATTTAAATGTTATTTTTTATTTATACCTAGCTCGTACATTACAATTTTTATTGAAATTCATATTTAAATAAATTTTTATTAAAAAATTCATAGAGAATTCGATTATTTAAATGCAAAAATAAATAATTTATTGAATAATTGAATGTTTCTCAAAATTGTAATCTCATAAAAAATTTCAACAACATTTTTAAAAATAATTACATTTTTCGAGGAATTCGAGTAAAATTGTATTTAAAATAATTGAAAATTTTTGATGAGTTTTATTATTTAATATTTATAAAAATACTTGAATTCCTAAAAATAATTTTATTATTATTACCAATATTATCGGAAATTAAATAAAAAATTTGTAAAAATTCTTCTGCTAATTTAAATATTAGTAAAGGGTTTTTTTTATGAATCTTTTTTCTTGATTTTTTTGCAAATTACATCTGAGAAAGGAATAGGAGAAAAAAATTTTAAAGGGGTGTGTAACGACAAAAATGGGTTCATGTAAAGTGAAATTTCTTTTATATATATATGTATGAGAGAAGCATCATGTGAGTCATTAAGGACATTAAGTGTCTTCACGAAGGGCTAAGTCAAGCGTCGGGACAGTAATATGTTTACACAGCATCATTCTTTGCATGCACATCAATCACTCCCTGTCTGTTCGTTTCATTCTAAAATTTAAATCCTACAGATTCTCTTCCGTTCTGGCTCACTTCGTTGTGACACTGTCGTTTCTGACACCCAATGTGTCAAAATCCATCGTCTTACTCTCAGTTCTTAATCATTCAATAGATATATATCTGTGTAATAATGTATTTCACAAGAATATCCTTAAAATCACTTTTTCTTCAAATATTTCATACATAATTTAATATTATTCATTTTTTCCGAATTATTTACAATTATTCACTATTTCATACAGTGAAACCTGTCGTAATGCAACTTGATTTTTTAAATTTTATTACAGTAAACAAACCTTAAAAAAATCATTTATAATTTAATTTTGTAATATTTTTAAAATATTCTCAGGGCTCGAAGCAGTGAAAGTATTTAGAAATACAGACTTTACTGACCAAAAATGAAAAATTATTATAAAACATAAAAATATCGATAACTCCGAGTCTTCGACTCGGAGTCATCGATTTCTTCATATTTTATAATAATTAAAGATGACCGAGTGATAAAATCATTTACAATTCAATTATTATTTACAAGAATTTTTAACTAAAATTCTTCTTTAAATCGATTATCTATATTAATTTTTAATAATTTTCGAAAAAGATCTTTGACAATTTTCAAATCCATTTCTTTACAATATTCAATTTCAAGAAATTTCAATTATTCGTAAATTCTTCAATTAAATAAATATTAGAAAATAAAAACTTAAAATAATATTAAAAAAATTCAATTAAACTTTTTCGAAAAAATTAATTTCAAAATTCAATTACTTTTAAAAATTCACGCTATGTTGCTATATTTTTATTAGAAAATTCTACTAGAATTCAATTACTTAAATAAAAAAAATAAATAATTTATTGAATAATTGAATGTTTCTTAAAATTCAATTCCCGTAAAGAATCGTTATCAACAAATTTT